TTCCCCCTTCCGGGTTTTGTGTGAGCCGCCCTGAGTCCCCTCAGGGAAAAGGGCGGCCTACAAATACTAATAAAACTAAAAAAACTAAACTAAATATTGATGTCTACAATGCTCTCTTTCAGAAAATAGATAAATACACAGTATTAGTGGAAGCAAGAGATATGGGAGGTCAGAAATTTGGTTTATGCAACACTGGAACGGCTATAATTGAAGTTGGTGATGCAAATGATCATGCCCCGATGTGTGAACATGGTGTGGTATGTCTGACATGTTCAAGTTAATTTTCTTTTACTTTTGTCATTATCTCTGTGTGTGTGTGTTTGTATAATATATATATATGTATATGTATATGTGTATATATGTGTAAATATATGTATATATATATGTGTATATATATGTATATATGTATATGTATGTATGTGTATGTATGTATGTACGTACGTACACATATGTATATAGCATGCTTTAATCAATTCCTGATTGGCATAGTATAGAGAGTAAAAAGAATGGCTTTGAGGAAGAGAAGGGAGATTCTTTACCAAAGATATGTGAAGGAAAACATACATTATATCTGGCACATGTAGAAAGCATACTGTATGCAAACATATCAGAGCAATATTTCCAGGTGTAAAACAGGAGGGGGAACACAGCCAGACTTGCAATTTTATGTCAGCTTTATGAAGCCAAGAAATAAATTCCATAGACTTTCCTAATTCCCTTCTACCCCTCCGCCCCCTTTATTTTTGACAGATAAATAAGCACAGTTGAATCTGTGCATGGAACTCAAATATTGATATGATTTTTGAATTGTATTTTAACTTGTAAACTGGCCATGCCAGAAAAACCTCACAGAAAATGATTGCCCCAAGGAAACCTACAACTTGTTAACTTGTTTATTAAGCCATGATTCCTGTCCTCCTCTTGGTTGCAGAGAAAACAAATGATCTCCCCCACAACCACTTCCATGTTTAGTTTGGAATGGATTAATCTACAAATAATATATAACAAAGCTAAAATTTGAGATCAGTAATAGAGCTAAGTGAAGGAGGGGGAGAGTGTAATTAGGAAAGGGTTTCATTTTTTAAAAAAAAATCCTTCAAGCCATTGTTAGATTCCTGACGATTACCTGAGAAGTCTCTGCAGACTTTTTCTTTTTTCTGCAAGATTTCAGTAGTAATTTGCTCTGATATTGTTCCTAAGTCTTAGAAAGAGTGAATGGTCTAGGGTCACCCACCTGGCTTTGTGCTTAAGGCAGGAACAGAATTCATACTGTTTTGATTTATATATAGTCTGTATAGTTATGCACAAAAGCAAATAGAGTGCTGTCTGGGATTATTGCATCTTGGAATAAAAATTGCTAGGTATCCTGGCTGTTCTAACACCGCTTATCTCCAATGGCTGTTTAAGGACGCATAGTCCATAACTACAGCGCAGATGGCTAGATTCTGCGCAGAAGCACTGGGGATTCATCAGAAATACGTGTCTAATCCACCATAGCTGCTTTAGACAACATATGTGTCAAACCCTTTGCACTGCTTATTCCTTTGCATTTTAGTATTTAATTGACTAAGGGCCTCATAGTTTATGAATTGTTATTTTAGTACACTTAGGCCATGTGTAATGAACAGACTGGATTTAAATATAGATTTTATTTATTATTTTATTCTAGAATTTTTAACTGAATATTCACTGAGTGATTTTATTCGTTCTGGTATATGACTAATAAAATTGATTGATTGATTGAAGAACAGCATACTTTGCATAATGAAATTAATCTATGAACATTTTGCTAATTTCAGTATGAAGTATTTATACTTGAAAACGCAGTTAATGCAGAAGTAACGAAAATTGGTGTGACAGACAAAGATGTACGAGGAACTCCAGCCTGGCACGCTACTTTCAATATTATAAGGGGAAATGAAGATGGTTCTTTCAAAATTGAAACAAACCGGGATTCAAACATTGGTACCTTATGTATTAAAAAGGTAATAAGGAAAAAGATTATGCAAAATGTTACAGGATATGTATTTCTACCTTTATTGTATTACGAGTTGTACTCCTATTTTGCATTATTGAAGGTGGCAGTGGTTTCATGATACTTTAACACTGCTAACACTGTAGTTGTATAGTTTCCCCTAAAAGTTATAGTTGCAATAATTTTTCAGTATTGAATTTTTCCAGGTAGTTGTGTTTTCTATATTGGCTATATATTTTAGTTTTTTCACTATTTTTATTATAAAGCTGATGTAGTTTTATTTTATGAACATTTGAATACACAGTTTTTCTTTACGCTATTCCAATTTCATGGCTGAGTGCTTTATATTGGTTTTCCAATGCCATAGTTCTATTATTACACAAAGCTATGCCCAAGAGGAAATAGGAGCAGGTTTGCAGAAATGCAAGGAAATAATAAGAAAATAAACCTGAACTTGCTTGGTGGCCATTGAACTTGGCTAGAGAAAAAAAATCATAAATGGAATCTTCTTTATGCTATCCTGTTTTGTTACAGTTCTACTTGTTTTATCCAGGGCATTAAAGTTACCCAAGCTACCTCTTATTCCTAACCAAAACGACTTCTTGGGGCCAAATAAAAATATTTTTATTGATGAAATGTTCTTTTTATTATAAAACAATTGCCTTTGAGACAGGAAAAAAGATAGAATCAGAAGCACTTAAGCTTTTTTTTTTTTTTAAAACCTCTCAGCACCTCAGTGAGTAGTGTGATGGTAAAACAGTTATTTTGCATGAGCCTGATCTGAAAATTATTCATTAAAGTCAAATGAGACTAGGATACTTAAAAAAATTAATGGCATTCTAGATTAGCACTGTTAGAGATTCTGGGTCGCTGTTGGTTCTGAGTTTGTTATATTAACGGAAGCATAGAGATGAACATTCTTTCTTCAACAGAATTTATAATCTGCAAAAAGAAAGGAGAGTGATAGATTTGACTTTGCTTCCTGTCTTTCCTAAACCTCAAATTATTGCAGGATTTTTTTTTTTTAATGTTGGTTTTTTAATGCTTTTTTTAAAATGTTGGTTTGTACTTCCATGATTATAACTTAGAATGGAACTCTACTAACTTGTAGCAAATCTTGTAATATATTTTCTAGGGTCTGGACTATGAAAAGACCAAGGAGAGAAGATTAGAAATTGTTGTGAATAATGAAGTCCCTTACGCTTTAGCACCGAATTCGGGACCAATTTCTACAAGTACTTGTGTTGTTGTTATTAAAGTACGAGATGTGGATGAAGGGCCTGAATTCCATCCTAAAATATATATTTTGGATATAAAAGAATGTTTGAAAGCTGGAACACCGGTTGGCCATTACTCCGCAAGTGATCCAGAGACCGGAAATAGTGAAGACATACGGTATTGTACTTTGTGGCTTAATTCACTTTCTTGTCCTATTTGTTACGGACAAATGTTTCTTTTAAGGAATTGTAGGCATACTGTAGAGTAGAGATTGGCAAGTTTCTGATGCAGCTGGAGGACTGGAAGGGTTTGTTATTGCTGGAAAGCTAATGAGATTACAGGATGTGACAGAGGCAATTTGGGTTTGTGTTAAGAGTGAGAATGGAAGTAGCAAATTTCGAAAAGACCAAACTGCTTCCACTTTCTTTCTTCAAATTGTTTAACAGACTTCCGTGATCCAAAATTTAGCTTGGGATTGGGAGAAAGTTTAAGAGTTAAAAATCCAGAGCAGGGGAATAGGGGTTAGTGGTGTCAAAATGGTGTGCATGATTTGAGACCTTGATTCCCCACATTTGGTTGCACAAATATGGTATTCTGGGGATTAGGGTACCCTTAAAACCCTGAATTAAAAACCTCATTTTCAGATGATGCTTTTCCCTCCTCATCCTATTGGGGAGATTATATATGTACTTCTATTGCTGTTGGCATATATAGCTTTACGTATATAAATCTGCATATATGTATATACAGATCTGATAGCCTTATTTTCCTATTAACATATTTCCCGAATACCAGTGGGGTGGGTCAAATTTAGGAAAACTGTTGTTCTGCTTCATGAATATTTGAGACAAATTGATGACAAAGATTCAAAATAATTATTTTTCTGCCTATATAATCATAAAAGTAAACTCCTGAATTAGCTGTTTTGTGGAATTGATGTAATGCTACATTTGCACGAGCCTTTTTTCCAAGTCGTTTAAAGATATCTAGGATACTATGAAGAAAACATTTCATGTGTTTGTTTCTAACATGTGCTATTTTTCCCACCTTGCAGTTACAAAATAATAAAGGACCCATGTAACTGGATCACCATGAATAATGAAGGTCAGATCAGCACCACTAAAATGTTAGACAGGGAAGCACCAGATTTAAAGTTATATCAATGTAATGTAACAGTTGCTGCAGTAGACCGAAGTGAGTAGAAATGCCACAAATCATATATGTTTTAAGTCACTTTTTGCTACATGTTTATTACGTTTATTATGATTTTCTATGAAAGATATGTCAGGAGTATTGATGAGAAACCTAAAAGTAAAGCAGCATATATGTCTATTTTTCAAATGTATTGGATATACAAATAGTCTGTACAAACTGCAGTTGCGACTGGCAACACCATCACTAAGTGATATGGTTAAGTAGAATCAAAGATACTAATTTAGTCTCATTTGCACAATCACACTTTTAAGTCAAAATTTAGGCTTGTGAAGTGAAAGTCAAAAGGATGTAATACGCAGTGGCACCAGTTCTTTCATTACCACCAAAGTTCTCTATTCCTGTATATTTACACCATTTACTATCATCCGGCATTCCCTGTTCAGGTATTCTTTGACAGTATAGGTAATTACACCCACAATTGGGACCAGAATTTGGGTTGTTAAGCAAGGTAACTACTAAGTGAGTTGCACCCAATTTTAGGACCTTTTTGCCATAACTGCTGTGGTGGCGCAGTGGTTAGAATGCAGTATTGCAGGCTAATTCTACTGATTGCCAGCAGTTCAGCAGTTTGATTCTCATTGGCTTAAGGTTGACTTAGCCTTCCAAGGTTGGTAAAATGAGGACCCAGATCATTGGGGCCAATATGCTGACTTTGTAAACTGCTTACAGAGGGCTGTAAAGCACTGAAAATATAAGTTTAAGTGCTATTGCTATGTGAATCATGGTCGTTAAGTGAACCTGGCTTCCCTTGTTGATTTTGCTTGTTGGAAGCTGGCTGACAAGGTTGCAAATGGTGATCATATGATCCTGGGACATTGCAGCTATTGTAAATATATGCTGACTGTCAAGCATGTGTTCATGCAACTGTAGAGATGCTGCAATAGTCATAGGTGTGAGGTCTGGTTGTAAGTCGAGTTTTTTTCAGTGCCATTTTAATTTCAAACTTCAAATGAATGTTTGTAAGTTAAGGCCTACCTGTACAATGTTTCCGCCTCATTTCATTTAAAAAAAAGAGAATCTGCCCCCAGTGTGAAAATGCATAGCAAAGATCGAAGTTCCATATATATAGTTGAAATAAGCCCAACCAATTTTAAAAGATGTTCGTAGTATTGCTATTTGTTTGTTTATTTATTTTTGTCATATGTACATGACTGCCCAGCTCACAAACTGTATTTGCGCTGTGTACACAAAATTAAAAGCAATATATAGAAAATGATTATTAATGTTATTTTGGAAAAACTTTAACATTATAAAGAGCACAAAATATTGGACAAATAAGCAGGTGTTAATTTACTTGGATTTGGACAGAGCTACATGCAGCCATTGTGTTAATACCTTTGTTAATGCACCTTGTTTACATGATATAGTATATGACCTTCTCTTGGAATTTGCATAACATTCCCAGTCTTCTATGTGAAAAAGAGATTGTCTTCCTTATATTGTGAATGAAGCCAATTATACATTCTTATATTGATTAAGTCATACCTTTTGCAATCAATATATACATACATACCTAGAGATCATATGCAAAATTGAAAAGTCAACCTGAAAAGCGTTGTGAAATTTTTAGATGCGGTATTCATTCCTTGGAATTAGCTTTTCCTTTGTTTAAACTTGTATTTAGCTCACAAGTTCATCATGGTTAGCCTTGAATTATATTTGGCTAGGGGAGCTTCTATTTCTAAAATTGATTCTATTTTTTCAGGTGGCAAAACAGGCACTGGAACAATTGTAGTTAATCTACGAGATGAGAATGATAATTACCCAGAAATTGTTCAAAAGGAGTATATAATATGCAGAGACAGAAAACCAATTTGTCTTACTGCTGTGGATGCTGACATAGATCCTCACACAGTTCCCTTTACTTTTTCCATTCTTGAAAGAGACACTCAAAACTGGAGACTAACTCAAAGTGATGGTAGGCAATCATTTCTAAAATCTGAATCTTTTACAATTGACCTAATACATTTGAAATAATATTCACTCCTTTTTAATATATTTTTTCCTGCAGACAGATCAGTATATTTGGAACCATCCGATGCTTTAAGCTATGGCCAGTACATAATTCCTATTGAAATATCTGATAATGGAGGCAACAAAGGGGTTTCTGAAATCAGAGTTTCACTGTGTGATTGTACAGTTCCTAAAGATTGTCTTTACCCACCAAGAGATAGTTTACCACGTCAGCGCTCAGATGTTACTCTTGGTATTTGGGCCATCCTTGCTATGATTTTGGGATCACTGCTGCTATTGTGTAAGCTTACTTTTTCTTCTTTTGACTATATAACTAAGCTACTAAATTATGGAATGCTTTTGACATCTTAAGGTTGCAAATCAAATTAGTTGATTTATGTATAATTCAACCCTAACCCTATATAAATTTGTCCATTAAAATATTTGAAGTAAGTAAAAAATATTCTGACTGTACTTCAAATCCCACCAAATCCCACCAGGCTCAGCCTTCTATCCTTCTGAGGTGGGTAAAATGAGGACCAGATTGTTGGGGGGCAATATGCTGACTGTAAATCGCTTAGAGGGGGCTGTAAAGCACTGTAAAGTGGTATATAAGTGTAAGTGTTGTTGCTATTGCTATTTAGATGCTCTAATACTGAACCCTGATTTTGCATGCCTCTGTCTTATCCTAATGCAGGAAGGTCAGCATGGAATACTTAGGGCTGTAGGGAAATATGTTTTGATGTTTAAGAAGGCTGTGTTTATTGCATATTTATCCCAGTCTTCTCTTTCTATCACACTTTTCTTTATATCAACATATAACAGAACAATTTAAATATCTGTAAAATTTTTTAAAAAATGAATTCATAATTTAAACAAACCAGAGATTGTAAATGACGTTAATAACAGCTTCACCAGTCTGCTGTACTTCACAGTTGAGCAATTTTCTGCTTAAAAATCTTTAGAATTTCTTTTTTCAGTCAATAAAAGCATTTACTTTTATTGTACCGGAAGCACTATAAATCAGGGCCAACTATTATTATTTAAAATGCTTCTGAATCTGGATTGACCATGAAGATAGATTTTCGGTTATTCTTGTGATGAAGGTTGTTGAAACTAAATGTAGTTATATAATGCTGCACATAATTGGCCATGTTCCCGATGGTAATTTTTTTAATTTAGAAGCTGAAAAGTCCGCTCCCCCCTTTAAATCAACTTCAGGCCTTTTGTTAGAACAAATGATTCCAAATTAGGAGCCTCTGTGGGCCAGCCAAATGTTAAAACAATAAATTTCCTTGCACATTGAATGCATCGGCAAGTTTCAGCCTGCATCTTTCCTCTACCTGTTTGCCAAGGTGTCCTCGTTTGTTCCCACGCCTTGGAAAAAATAAAGGAAGGTGGTTCCATTCATCCTATAGAGAAACTCTTGTTCTAGGGTAGGTAGACCACATTAGTATACAATGGAACAGTTCTCTTTTTGTCTTCCCGTCATAGTTTGAATGACAGGAGAACTACCAATAGCTGAAAGTTTTATTGTTATTTGCAGTGGCAAATAATAAGCTGCAAGTTTATTGCTTTTAAAATTTGGCATGATGATAGATAGCATGCAGTTCCTGGAGACTTAGAGACAGAGAGTGAAATGGCTGTATTAGAGGGAGACAGAGGAGATAACACTATCTTTGATGGATAGTAGATGTAATAAATATTACTAACAAATCTGCTGATATTGAATTAATATTAAATATGAGCTGCGGTGGGGCAGTGTTTAGAGTGCAGTATTGCAGGCTACTTCTGCCAGCTGCCTGCAATTTGGCAGTTCAAATCCCACCAGGCTCAAGGTTGACTCAGCCTTTCAGGTGAGTCAACCTAGTGGGTAAAATGACCCAAATTGTTGGGGAAAAAATGCTGTTGCTATCTCTTTACTACTGGTTTTTGTCCTGTAGTAATCCTGATTACGCTTTGTGGATGTTTTGGTGGTGCACCCATGGCTGGCACTAAGCATGTTTGTGATGATTTAGCCAATCAGAATTTAATCATATCTAATACTGAAGCACCTGGAGAAGAAGTTATGGTAAGTCGCATTATTATGCTTAGCAAGTGGGCTTGCGATCAGTGCCAGTACTTAAGGTTTTTCTGAAATTCTTGTATTGCTGATTAATTTAGAATTTATGGGATGGATACCAAAGCAGGAGGTTATTAAAACAAGTACTAGGACTGTAACAAACGGCATCACATTTACTTAAATTATCCCTATCTGCCACAGTAAGGCCGAGTAAAGCGGCAGATTTGGTTGGGTGGCCTTTACAGCCCTGTTATTTTTTTTTCACCCTCCACCACCAGAATAAGAATCTAGAAAGGAAGGTTAGATAATAATGAGGATTGGCGAGTAAGCACGGGATGCTGCTAAGACAAAAGAAGAAAATAATTATCCAATTGGAGTTAAAGCTGGAATTTTGTTATCTCACAGCTTGCAAGAGTGATAGGGCCAGCTTGTCTTAGTAGCCTCTTGTCCAGGTGTTAATAGAAAGAAGCACATCAGCCACAGGGCAATGTGGGAAAGGAGAAAGTAAAGAAGAGTAGAAATATTTTTTGAAAATTATTTAAACTTCAGCTGCGTATAAATAGCCTTCTCAAATCCTGAATCCTTTTTTGCGATAGAGAAATTTTCAATAGTAGAAGAGATCTTAAACAGCCCCTTAAAAATATAATAATAATAATAATAATAATAATAATAATAATAATAATAATAATAATAATAATAATAATAATGATGACAGTAACAACCACAACTTTTGTGACGCTACTGATGCAATCTTGGGTTCTTCCTAAGGATCTTAGAGATTGGGGGCAATGTCAGCTGTGATATAATTCTTACTCTTTACAGTTCCTGGAAGGGAAAGCCATAGCTTTGTGTGTGGGATTCAACAAAATATTTTGTAATATTCCTGTTAATATCATCAGCCTTTTTTTAAAAAAAAGTGACCATGGCTTTAATTTGAAAAGCAGATATTTTCATTTAATTCTTAAATTCTGAGTATCAACTAGATTCTTATTTTGCATGGCAGTCTGCTATTTCAATAGAATTATTTTAATAGCTCAAGAATAATGCAAATATGTTACTTTCTAATGCATATACTGCCCTGTTTTAAATAGAATTGGCCATCCTGAGCAACATTTTCAGTTTTGGCCATTAGATTAATGGTTTTCTGATTGTATATGGCATTGAGAAAAATGCAACATCTATTTATACTGGATTATGATTTTTGAATCAAAATTGGTATTCTGCCATGGGTTGTATGTGATAACTTCAAGTATCTATGCAGCCTGGTAGAAATGAGATGTAATAATTTAATCTAATAATATAGAACTTTCCAGATTCTGTCATTCACAAAGGTAATGAAGATAAACAAATTACAATTACTTGCAATTAAGCAAATGCAGGCATGCTTAATAAATTGGTCACATAGTAAATCTACACATTGTAAATGGAATATCTTGGAAAAATGTGTACTTTTTGTTTCTACAGTTCTTCTAATATATAAACCAGCTGTAAAATAATATCTAAATCTTCATTGCTTTCTCTTTAAACATTCTAAAAAAAGCTTTGCCATTTCTCCACTTTCAGGATCCGAACATACTTCCTGTGAAAACAGGAAACATAGTGACGTCTGATCACGGGGTTGGTTCTGGAATAAAAACTGGGGGACAAGAAAGTTTCGAAATGGTCAAAGGACACCAGACCATGGAATCGGTTAGGGGGCAGCACACCTTGGAATCTGTCAAAGGAGCGGGGCATCATACTTTAAATGGAAAAGGATATGGGCAGTCCATGATGGATACCTACAGATACAATTATTCAGAATGGCAGAATTTCACACATCCTCGTCTGACTGAGGTAAGGTTGCTAACCAATTTCTTCAGCATGTATTTTTAGAGTTAGACTTAACTGTCTAAATCTGTGGGGTGAAACAGCCTGACAAATTATTTGGGATCTCACTGAATTCTCTGAATAGAGAATTCTTTATTGTATGTAGAATCTTCTTTTTAATTACCTTAATTAAATCTGGGTATACTTGAAATATTTTTTGCTTTGTTTATAAATTATATTGTTTAGAAAGATTGTTTATTTGGACTTGGGCTTTGTAATGTGTGTTTGCTTTGTTTTGTTCCCACCTGTCCTACTGTTTGCTCTCCTTTCTTTGACCCAAATAAGTGATTTTTAAAAATTTGAAAGTCCTTGTTGTAGAAGAGGTAGGTACACATGTCAGTAATAAATCTAAGCCAGCATGATCCACCAGTGTATCATTACTAATTTATATACAAATATTATTTAATTTAATTTGCAATTGCTTTAGAAATGCTAAGTTGCATATTTGTGATCAGTGGGAATCTGATTTTTTTTGTTAAAGTCTTCATAGATTGAATGATATAGACCAATCATGTGCATTTTTTATATATAGGAACCCATTAGAGGACACACTCTGATTAAAAATTAAACATTAAAAGGTAAATCAATGAAATTTATTTTATGGCATATGTTGTGGTTAGTTTAAGGAAACAAATGACCTTTTTTTTCTTTTTCCTGTGCAGAAAGTATATCTGTGTGGGCAAGATGAAGAGCATAAGCATTCCGATGACTATATTCTTTCATATAACTATGAAGGAAGAGGATCGCCAGCGGGCTCTGTAGGCTGCTGTACTGATCAGCAAGAAGAAGAGGCACTTGACTTTTTAGATCAGTTGGAACCAAAGTTTAGGACATTAGCAGAAACCTGCGTGAAGAGATAGATGACAGAGTGGAAAACCATCACTGCTATGCAGAATAGCTGTTTCAAATCTTGAATACACCAGATTTATGTTTCTTGTTTTTCCTGTAATGGGTGTGGTGAATCAAAAGTACATCCTAACATTAGGTTTGTCAGGACTAAGGTTTCTATATCTAAACTTCAGATGCTGCGTTCTATTTCGTTTTAGACTCTCTTTAGCTGTCATGTCAATCTGTAATTAACTTGCTTCCCAAATGCAACAGATTCTCGTTTTATTATTTTTCTGGATTTCATGGGGATTATTTTGGGCTGCTACTCCCATAATTTTCAGGTTTCAACCATGGTGACTAGGAATTTTGGGAGCAGTTCTGTCACATCTGGAATATCCCCACTGGGGAATTTGACCGTAGGAAAGTGAAGTTCATTATTTCCTACTTTTAGGGATTATGTTTTATGCTAACTATTTTTGCCTGAGTTTCAACAGCTTTCTTTAATTTAGCTAAAACTTTAGCTTTATAGAGAGAAATGACAAAGGATTTCAGTTATTAATTATTTGCATCATACAGAAACAAAGATTCTGTTTTCAAAACAAGATGCCATTTTTTCCTGTAAGACCTTCCTTTACAGTCATATAACCTCTAGCTTTTCTCTATTTTTCTCCTTAGCAAAACACCCAGTGTTTTATGATCACTGAGCATAACTGGGCTTTGTCATCTTTTTTTAGGATTTGGAGTGTGGGTTGGCAAGGGGTCTTTGGCAAAGTTTGGTTCCCCCCCCCCCTAAGCCTGCTAATGCTTTTCTCTTTTATGTGGATGTTGTTCTTTTGACTAATAAAGATATTTTAACAAAGAAATTGCTTATATACAATGGAATGTCTGTGTTAAATAAATCTTTTTAATTAGATAATACACAGAATGAAAAGCAGAAATGATTTAGTGTATAATCTTAACAGTACAGCTAGCATAAAGGGATGTATTTAATATCATTGCAGAAACAAGCATAGAAGTGAAAATGAAAAGTGCAAAGGCAACTATTTTCTCCAAGAGTTTAAATTAATTGCAAAGTGTTATTTGCCTTGTTCACCCAAGGACTACTGTTATTCCTTTAGTGTAATTTTTAATCATATCATAAGCCAAGGTAAAACTTGGAGGGGGAAGAACTACTAATATCAGCACTGCATTTTGTTGTCTTTCATCAAAAGTAAAATAGAGAGCCAAACTGGTTAAGGGACAATGTATGCTGACTCTCCATTTCATGTAATGAATCATGCTTTGCAATTTTTATGCGTGAACTAACATGATCCTTATTATCCTGGTGTAATATAGATTCATGATATTTGTATACCTATAGTTAGATAATTGGAGAAATGCGTAGGGTACTAGAAATCTATAATCATAAAAAATGACAAGAAGTATATAGTATTTGAAAGTACTTTTTTATAGATTGAAGCTTTATCTTCACAGGTGTAGCCTCAAATGGAGTTGGTTCTAGTCTTCCTTAAAGTAAATAATTGGAAAAATTATAACCCATTTATCTAATTAATTTCAGTTAAGGTGCTCTAAATATATTTGAGTCCAGATACATTTTACAGATCTTTTAATAAGAGATAAAGTTCTGATAGGTTATAGGTACTAGTGAATATAAATAGTTTCAGAAAAAGGTATTCTTGCTATTGCTGTTGTTTGTACTTTGGGTTGTATTCCTAATATGAACATTTAAGTGCATCAATAGGAAATGACCAGGTCTGATATAATTGGATATAAAAGCACAAAATGTTGTTACTTTTAATGCACCTAATATCTTAAATATTAAAAGAAACAACTCAGAAAAATAAGAAATAAATTATGGATCAAGGTTTTACTAAACAACTTGAACCCAATTTCTGACATGTAATAGTGTTTTCTCACCATCCATCCCATATGTGACCAATGTTCCCTCTAAGCTGCATGGCAGCGCGGCTGCGCATGTAACAAGAAAACACTGCGCAGAAGTTTCAAACTGCCGCGCAGTGTTTTTTAATATCTTAAAATATGACTGAAAATATCCCCCCTCCCTTCTCTCTCTGCACCGAACTCTCTCCTCCGTTTGGTGATTGGTGAAATCAAGGAAGACTCTGCTCGGAGACCGATGATGCTGCAGAAGGGAGAATTCCCATTGGTCCTCTGGGGCTTCGTTGGTTCCTGGGAAAACGCGATTCGCTGGTTGTAGCCTGCGTTTCTCTGCAAGCGGGTTTCTCAGGCATTGCATTGTCTGAAGCCCCATTCTGGGCTCAGCAGTCTTTCTGCGATCCCTTCGCTTTGCGGAGAAAGGGAAGCAGCGGGGAGTTGGACTGCCTGAGCCAAAGGGGTCCACGGGATCTTGAGACTTGATTTTTGAGCAGTACCAATCCATTCCACTCTTTCCTTTCCCTTTCTGTCCTTCTTCTATCTTCCTTTTCTTTTCTTTTTCCTTTCCTTTCTCTTTTCCTTTCCTTTCTCATTTTCTTTCCTTTTCCTTTTCTTCTTTTTTATTTCCTTTTTCCTTTCTTTCCTTTCTTTTCTCCTTTCCTTTCCTTTCCTTTCTCTTTTCTTTTCTCCTTTCCTTTTTCCTTTCCTTTCTCCTTTCCTTATTTCTTTTTCCCTTCTTTTTTTCTTTTCCCTTCCCATTCCCTCCCTTCTTCATCCTTTCTTTTCTTCTTTCCCATCTCCTTTCCTTTTTCCTTTCCTTCTTTTCCATTTCCTTTCCTTTCTCTTTTCTTTTCCTTTCCTTCTTTTCCATTTCCTTTCCTTTCTCCTTTCCTTCTTTTCCATTTCCTTTCTCTTTTCCTTTCCTTTCTTCTTTCCCATTTCCTTTCCTTTTTCCTTTCCTTTTTCTTTTCCTTTCCTTTTCTTCTTTCCCATTTCCTTTCCTGGCCCTCCCCCTTCCGTCCCTCCTTCCTTCCTGGGGGTCTGAGGGAGAGGGAGGGGACCATTTTCTTCCTTTCCCCCCTCCCCAACATCTGCTCTGATGCCAATTAAGGCTAAAAAAAATTCAGGTGCTCAGGCATGAAAATGTGCCGCTCAAACACTATACTTTTCTGCACAAACTGAAAAAAATTTAGAGGGAACATTGTATGTGACCACTTAATCTTATTAAGCCATGCTCAAAGCAGTGTAACAATTTAATAGTAGCTGCATTTTGCATTGTTTTAGTGTGATAAGCTTTACTAATTTTAGCTTAATGGTATGTTTGTAAACTAAGGGCAAAAATAAATGTGAACTTTAAAAGATTAGGTACAAGCAAGAAAAATAGATTTTATTAAGGCTTCATTCTTAGCTATTTTTCCAGAGATAATAGAGAATGGATTACTTTGTAAGTTTTGAAAACTTAAAAAAAATGAAAGTTGTCGTAATTATTTAATTAACATATGCATCATTTAATCAAAAATGCTGGGTGGGAATTCTGTGAATTCTAGTCCAGTATAACTGGAGGGTGCAGTATTTGGTAGCTCTGTAGTAATCCATGTAAATTTTAACTGTTACATGACTATAATCATTGAGGATGGTTGTGGTTTTCCATATTTTGCTCCTTTCCCTTCCCCCCAGATATATGACATTTATAATTTCAGTGTATCCTCTTCATCATAACTATTATAAAAAATAAAACCCTCGAGAATAATTTATATTCTAAAAAATGCTACAGTGTCTTAAAATGGCAATTAGATTTGAATTTATTCCTCCTTATCAAACTTTTGTTTGTGCCTGTGTTACCAGTAGTTCATTGAAACTGAAGTTCAATTTTTGTCAATTTAAAAATTATCATTGTAAAAAACTATGGCTGTAATTTAAAAAGAAAAAGAAAAGAAAATAATGTACTGAGTATGAAATATAAAATAGAAATTCAGAATCAGACTTGGTATAAATAAAATTGATAAGAACACATGCAGTATTGTTAAAATAATGTAACGGGGACTGAGAAATTTTCAGTTAAGCTTTCTTGGTCATAAAATTGGCCCTTGGCTTAAGCCAAGTGATTTCTGAGCCCCGTAGTTGTAATATAGGGATAATAGTATTGCACTGTATTTGAGGTGCTTTGAATGTTCAGGCAAAGTTTTGTACATACGTATATTATTAGAGATTCTGGTTTTAAGTAGCTTAGACATGGGTTTTCTCTGCTTTCCTCTTTTTATAACTGCATAGTATAGGCAGTCCTCAACTTACAACAGTTCATTTAGTGACCAAAGTTACAACGACACTGAAAAATGTGACTTATGGCCCCTTTTCATAATTAAAACCTTTGCTGCATCCCCGTGATCATAGGATCCAAATTCAGATACTTGACAACTGACTCAGATTTATGACGGTTGCAGTGTCCTGTGGTCATGTGATTACCTTTTGCGACCTGAGAAGCAAAGTCAATGGGGAAGCCAGAGTCAATAACCAGTTACTAACTTATCAAGTGCAGTGATTCACTTAACAACTGTGGCAACAAAGGTTGTAAAATGGGACAAAGCTCACTTAACAAATGTCTCACTTAACAACAGAAATGATTTCAATTGTGGTCAAAAGTTGGACTTCCTGTACTAGCAAATCTTTTAATTATGATATTACTAAGACTTCTTCATTGCTATGGAATGCAAAGATATTAGGGTGTCCGTATTTTTTTTAAACAAGGGATCTTTTTATCAGAGGTCAATAGTAGACAAACCTCTTTCTAAAAGAGAATTGTTGGTTGTTATCCAGATTTTTTTTCCCTATACAGCAATGCTGAGACATATAGATCAGGCTAGAATGGGTCATACACTTTCCCCTTCTATGCATTTTTGGCAGATTAATAAAAGTCTCCCTTAAAAAGAATGTTAAATGTTGTAGTAGTCTTTAATCTCTCATTTGGAAAAAGGTAAAGACAGAAGTAATGCTTGTTTGAATCTTAATGTGTAAAGTTGAAATTTTATGTATTAAATTACAAAAATATAGTTAAAAGTATCACAATTTACCAGCAAAATATGTTCCAATTTAAAATGATTTGTTGTTTTTTGAAACTGTTTCTAGTTGTTTAAATATACTGTGTAATTTCATATCTTAAAAGCATTTTTACATGAACAATACAATGTCTTTTGTGTAAAAATAAAGATAACTTCTGTAAAACCTGCTTATTTCTTTAATGTTCTAACTAACGTTAACTGGGAAGAATCGATATAGTTTGAGGTTGTAGTTGGATCTTATTTATTGCTCAGCCTTTACCATTTTTCTGTCTACAATGCAGAAAAATAATTAACAGTCAACATCCTTTAAAGTGTTGCAAAGTTGCTCAGTTATATAATAACTATGATGCGCTTTGAATACCATTGTCAATCAAAAGACATTTAACAGAGAAAATGCAGAAACAGTTTTTACATGTGAGTTGATGAGTGAAAAATCCAAGCACAGAGTGCACAATGTGAACCTTTTCTAAGACTTTCTGATTGTATAGATTTTTTCAGCTTCAGTGATGGTAGATTAAGAATAGAGCCAGAATGGCTGTTAACTGTTATAGGGTTTGATTCCTACACAGAAACATTTTAAAATTACAATCTTCACCAATTACTACATAGCAATTTCTGTCAATTGTATTTCATCCTTGATTTATCAAGGATTACGTATACCAGCTATATTGTTTAGAAAATTTTATATAAAATGATTCAGTAAAAGCCATCTGCCTGCAAAAAAAATTATGACGCAAATCAGATTAAAAGCACAATGTACATTTATACTAAGGCATTTTTCTAAATTATTTTATTCCTGCCCTATTTCACTGGAGTTTTAGATGCTATGCTTTGGAATATCACATTCTCTCAGATCACTGAAAATCATGGTTGCTTTGACTTTTTTCTTTCAACAAATGTTAAATTAAATA